CGGCTGTCCTCTAGTCAAAGAGGTTCTTTGACACCAATGAAGTTGTAGAGGGATGGGGAGCAATGAAGCGGCAACCCCTTGGATAAATCTGTGAAGACCCTGTACGAAAGGAAAAGGTCACATTTATAAAGGGAGCAATTGCTAGAGGTCATCGTCCAGCGAGCTCAAAATTTGATTGTGTTCGTATTAAATATTTGGTGATGATTGAAGTCACACCGAAGCTATGGTTTCTTGCACTTTTAATTAAGGGCCATCAGACCATACCAGTTCCTTGAATTGTTTGTTTAGAGTGATGCAGTACACTAGGTGAGATGGAGAGGTGGGGCGGAGTGGTTAGCGCAACGTACTTTGGACCAGACGGACCGAGTTCTGTTACCAATCACGGCCAATGTCAGTGGCAAGTGATACTTGGATTGGTCCTTTTCAGCCCGCTCGGGGAGGCCTTCATCCAGCACAGTAGTGGATTGACAAGGGCTGTAAATAATGTTTTTTTTTACACTACATCAATTGCAATTCTGCCAGTGAGCAAATTGGAAATCCTCTTTTCATGCACTGTGGTACCGTGCATGGTTATGGAGTCATTGATGAGGTAATATGTTATGCACGCGCAACGTGAATATTATTTGCTAATTAAACTTCAAACGCTTATTCATGTGTGTTTGTGTGCACTATGCCTGTGCACGTGATGGATATCGTTTTAAAGCATAATGGAATTTTGGGAAAATTTCTTCTTTAGCTTATTGAGTAGAATATTGGCAGTGAATGCCTATTAATCCTGGGGACATTGAAGCAAGAACCATGCATATCCAGCCACCTTTGTCTCCCTAGTGCTAACATTAATGCATCATGAATAGGCTACTGCACTTATTTTAGGCTGTGTTATTTTATTTCCACTCATATTATTATTATGTTCCTTTTTGTCCCAATTATTTTCCAGTATCACGCCTGGCTGCCTTTATCTCCCCAGTGCTGAAGTTTACACACTCATTTAATGTTAGCAATGGCCAGGAATCGATCTTAGGCCACCGGATTTGGAGCGCGATGCACGAACCACGGCACTGCCGCTCCACCGACCATACACAGCGAGGCACACTTGCTCGGTATACACAGGGCTCAACCCCAGCGAGGTCTGAACAGGTCAGTGGAAAATATTTCTTCCCGCGACACACCACATCTCATAAACTTCTCACTGTGGGCCGCGGCTACTCGTCACGTGCCACCTACGACGGTGTAGCAGCAACCTGCAAATTATTCGGGGAGAAGCCTAGCCCGGAGTGTATACATAAATAGATGCTTATATACTGTATACATGTTTGCATATGTGTGTGTATACATATAGATAATCGAGTGTAGATTGTATAAAACATACATTATATAATAAAGCATCGCAAGCTGGATTGCCTGTTAGTAGAGGAGGACCTTCTTGTACTGCCATATCACAGTTGGGTCAAAATTTTTATTTTTTTTCCACGTTCACATTGCCCCCCACCCCCCACCTCCCCTCGAATTTGTAAGCAGCCCAATGTCATTCGTTTAACATCTGATCGACTCTGGCGGAGGTCATCGAACGGGGCGTATCGAGGCCACAGCGCAGCAGAGGGCGAGCGGCGCGGTGCATCGTAATGATCCGGAGACACGGGCAGGACTTGTTAATCCCGTCGTGGGGAATTAGCAACACCCCCATACGCATTGCAAATTAAACGAGTGTATTGCACAACACGAATGTGCGTAAACATAGTAATAGCGGTAATAAAGCGCGTCTTCAGCGCCCCGGTCGAACGTGTGTGGGAATGTTTCCCCCCGATTTCATTCATTCTTTCATGCAGGCATATGCGCATAATGTGTGTGTGCATCGCTGATCGTTTTTTGGGCCGGAGGGGGCAGGATGATTTATCCTGACTCACGGCCGCTGTGCATGCACCGCTGGTGCATAACAGTCGGGTCATCTGCACCGCTCCCATACCGCCTAGCGCACGTGCGTGTGAGGCTGTGCGTGCGAGGAGCGATGGTGTGTCATTGTTAGCACGGTGCGCTCCAAACCCTGTGACCTGGGTTGCATTGCTGGCTGTGGCTAACGTCAGTGACGACCAATATATGAAGCGGTTGTGGATCTCCCCCAGGTAGACTCAGCCTTAAATGAGCACATGCTGCAGTGTGCAAATCTCAGCACTGGCGGCATAGAGATGACCGGGCATGGTCCTGGCCACACCACCACCATGCGCTGCAGTGGCCTTCATGTGCTCTCGCTAGCAGCACTTGACCCAACACTCAGTGTAAGCGATACCAGGGATCTTTGTCTCTGTGCGTACTTGTATGAGAGTTACAGACACACAAGCTGAAACACAACAAAATTCCCAGTAGCAAATAAACACACATGGCGAACTTACACCGAAGCCCCAGAGCTGACATATTTTCCGGCTTCTATCGCTTATGTGATGATGACTTCAACTTTGATTCTTTGACAGAGGAAATTATGCCGCATGTATGTCCATATGCCCACGTCACAGCACGCATTCGAGTGTGGCCGTGTGGGCCGCCTGCACCAGGCCAAGTGCTGCTATTTTGCGCTCTTTTAACAGGGGGAATAATAAACCCACGTGCACTGTGCTTTATTGACCAATGGGGCAGGCAGAGAGGGATTTATCTGCAGACGCACAAAACGCCACATTTTCCGTGTTTTTCTCCTGCTTTGCTCAGCACTCTAACCACAGAACTGGTCACTCATTGCAGGCAGTGCTGTCCCAGGTGTATGCACCTCTCTGAAATGGGCACAAGCATTGGTTTTGGAGGCAGCGGTAAAGTCATGATCGCCGGGATAAGAGTGAGCGTTGCATATGCTCTCGTGTTTCTTGTCAGCTCACCGGAGACTCGGCTAAGCTTTGCGAGATGAGTCACTTGTACTAGATCAATTTGCTCTATTTTATGAAGTGCAGTGGAGTACTTCTAAAGAACACTCGCTCAAGTTACGGATGATGTGTAACCTGGAGTTCTTAAGATTATTAGGATTCAGTGGAAATGTGAGATGCCTGGAGAATCAAGTTTAAAGCAGCCAAGTAAAACAAAGTGAGAAGCGGTGTGAGGTACAAGTTAATTTCCTCGTGTGACACTGGAATTAACTATGCTCTTTGGCAAATAGACCTTCAGGCTTGTTTTCATTTCAGTGGATAATGTAAATCAGCACGTTGTTTTTGTGCAAGGTAAACTGCATAGAATGCACATTTATGTAACACGAGATATTAAATGCCAATAAAGGGCTGTGTGTGAACACATCACATCGACGAACAATTCTGCCAAGCTTAGATTTGCGTAGTAAACAAAACGCACACACGCGCACACATTTCGCGTGTAATTCCGATCTACAATTTTACTGGCTCGTCAAATTGGTTCGCAATGAAGGGTGCGCATTGCTATTGTGCACGAGAGTGAAGAAAAAAATAATAATAAAACGTAAAGATTGATTTTCACAACCGTGGGAGTTTTTGCCGTGGAACAAAACATCTTTTTTTCAGAGAGCAGAAATTGCCGAACCGTGGGAGGCCGAGGCAGAGTCACGGAGCAAGCGGCGTGGTGCTTGTAGACGCTGCTTCTCCGTGCGCAGGCCCGCAGATCGCACGATTTCCAGTAAATGTTGTGCTAATAGGGACCCGTAAATGACTGGATTTCAGCCTGAAGCAGAATGGCTTCACGGGACACGGAAAGTTTTTTGCAGTGGGAGAACTGCAGCTGAGGGAGGAGAAATGTGTGGGCAGTAAAGAGGAGATAGCCGGTTGGGGCATAAAAGAAGATGGAAAAAGATTTTAGTCTGTACCAACCCATTACATATTTTAAATAGGTTCTAAAAAAAATGTCATTTTTAAGAGTTCACTTCCACCACCCCCCTTCCCCAGATTGTAAGTATTGAATATACGTATGGAATGAAATTTATGATCTTTTAGTGTAATTGAAATGCTTGTACGACAAAGCCAATATGTTTAAAGGCTTGCCTATGCTATTGGGGGAAATGAGTTTAAAATTAACATTGGGAAATAAAAAAAAACATTCACATGCAGGGTAAGTTAATTGTGATTTAAAATTAACTGAGTGGGCAGTTTTTGATACATGAAACCGTTTTTTTCCCCCCACGCTCAGAAAATAGCACGTTTTACTGTCAATTGGCTCAATTTCTTTTACAGCTCGAATCGTTTTAAATAAAGTGCGCCGCCGTTTTCCCCTCCTCTGCTACTGCCCCACACGTGCGTTTACCTGCTTTGTTGTTAGTTGTGTTTGATAATATGCATAACTAATCCATGGAATGGCGCAAGAACTGCCGTGATATTACACAACCGCCGCGCTGAAAATGGATTGCCTTTGAATCATCGATTGCACCTGGATTTGCAGCGGCAGCAGCAGCGAGCGGTTAGGACATTGTGAGTGAGTTGTGGATCATTCTGTGTTGTGTGTGCTAGTGCGTGGCTGATTAGTGACATGCCTCTTATCTTCCTCTCTACCCACACTTTACACTGATGAGTCAATTCAACGGAAAATTCACCGCTTTGTGAAAAAAAATATTTTCTGGCAGTAATTCAAAAGACGAGTTGAGTGGTGGCACAGTGGTGAGCGCATTGAGCTCTGATTTTGATTACCGACCAAGGCTAATATCATTGACAAGCCATGTGCGAACCGGTCTGGGCTCTCACTTCACTGACTCGCATGAGACCGCTGTGGTCAAACAACCCCCATGACTTGACACGACATGGTGAGGACTTTATCCGGCGGAGCATTTACAAAAACCAACATATTATTAAAATCAAAAGGCGTCGTGTTCTTACCAAACTTGCTATGTAGAACCTAGTGAGAGCGGAAGGAAGATGTCCGCTTGCCGTGACTTTCCCACACCAATTTATTGTCACGCTGCCTTGAGTGTGCGTGCGCACAACCGCGTTTGACATGGAGAGCACTGCACTGCAAAACGGCTGCTGAAATAACGAACCGGTTCTTGCTTCTGTCATCCTCTCTTCTAGGTATGGCAAGATCGTTTCCACGAAGGCGATATTGGACAAAAATACCAACCAGTGCAAAGGTACGTGTTTTGTATGAGAACTAAAAAATTGAGAATAAAAAAGAATTCCAACTTAGTGAAATCCTCTCATTGTAAAAAACACACCCTATCCATATCGGGATGTGTGCCGTTTGTACGTGCATCAGCCTTGTTAAACTAAGTGAAGAAGTAAAAAAAATCCGCAAGTCTGCGTTTTTTCAGCTATTCTGCATGCCGCATGCGAAGATTTGTTTGGCATTTGAAATTCTTACAAACGGATTATTCTTTGTTGTTAGGCATCATATCAGAACTTGTAAAATAAAAACCTCCTGCCTGGAGGTCGGGTGGTTTTCACAACGCGCACCACACATTGCATTGCAATGTTATCCTGTAAGTACCGCGCTCAGCATTTTTTCCTCTAACGAAATCCCTTCATCGACAGCGGTGAAATGCATACTAATGGTATGCATTGTCACTCATTGCATAACGTTATGGAGAGCTCCAATGCGGTTTCTGCGGTTTTGCTATTTTCTCGTGAAACAACTAAGTTCCCCCGTACGCTCGCTTAAGATTTCTCCGAGCGTTGCTCGCAGAGGGTGGAACTGATGTGAATTGAAAGGAAGTCGTGAGAGGTGGGGGCATGCGGTGGGGGACGAAACAAAATGCAGGCAGTGCAAAAAAATTGGCAACGTCACACGGTCAAACTTCATTGAAGCCTGCACACTGTATTGCGCACCCGCCGCCCCCCATGTCCACTGGGCAGCTGTAACAGCATCTGTTTGACAAGATATCATCTGGTGGTGCTCGCTAGGCCTGTTTCTGTAAAATGGGCTCTTTGGCCGTGCAATTATGTCGTGGCGCGGCGTTAAATGTCCGATGTGCGCAGGATCCGAGCGGTGTTTTACCCCTTTCGGAAAGAGCCTCCGAGTAAACCCGGAACATTTTTTCGACGGAACCGACGGCACGATTTTTATGAGCTTGTGACAACAAAATGTTGTCGTAAAGAATTGCTGAATGCTTACAATCATTTGGTAAATTGTCGTGTGCTCACCTGCCAGAAAAAAATATGACTCTTGTAATTTTAAGAAACCCAAATTAAACTTCATGTTCCCAGAATGGCACTGTTGGTGCAAAGTTATTAAGCTCGTAAACTTGTTTTGCATTGTAGTTGGGATAAATGTAGGATCATACAAGCCACACATTAGGATGCTTAGATCAAGTAAACGTTTTTTTCTTTTTAATACCCTTCGCAACTCACAACTGAAAGGCGACTCCTAAATGAATAAAACGTTCATTTTGCCGCTTGTACAAACATGTTCGTTGTTGTGCATACGGAAACATAACAGTGTGGCTCGAAACAAGATGTTATCCGATTTCCTTCCATTTTTTTCTGCCTAGTTGAATAAACATCTGTAACACTACCACAAGCAGTAGCATAGTGGTTAGTATACTGTGCTCTAAACCCAGTGGACACGCGTTTACTTGCTGCCTCTGGCTAACTTCAATGGAGTGCGATATCTGAACCATTCCTGGGTGCCCCATTTACCACCCTGCACTGACCAGCATGGTGAAGTATGATCAAAAAACACCATGACTGACGCAGCTTGAGGAAGTCTTCACCTAGCAGTGGATTGATGAGGTCTGTGCACACATAAGCATAATAACCACAATCATGATTAATTTGCATGCTATGTAGTGGCGTTCTAAATATGGGTCTCGAGTTGATGTCATTGAACACATAGTTTACAGCAAACAGCACTCACTTAGGGCCTTTTTCCACAGCTCACTGGGTGGGCTCACTCGCCTGTCAAGTACAGAGGCATAAGAAAGCCTTCCAAATATAGCGATGCACTTAGAATATTGTGTGTCACGTCTTCCAACGGTAAGAGCCTAAAGTGCAGCGTTACTTGTGCAGCCAAGTGAGGCTGGATCCACCAGCGCATGGTAGAATTGCGTGCCTTACCAAACATTACCCCTCTAAACATAAACGGTGGTTATTGTAGAGCACGACACGTTTTTTGCAAAAATCTGGCAGTCTCGCCTGCTCCATGATGAGGACATGACTTGTACTCTCGTAGAGGAATAAGATTTAAAAAAATCGATTTAAAGCTTTCGTGACTGCAGGGATTCATCTTCTTGGTTCTTTCGGTAAAGCCACGTAGAATGGAAATAATAAAATAATAAAAATAAAACATAATAAAATAATTCTCACGACGTTTCTGCCACAACGCAAGCAGCCGTCCTCAGGTGAAGAACAGGTCTGTCGATAAGACAGAGTCATTCAGACTCTGTCTTATCGACAGACTTGTTCTCATGTCGTGAGAATTATTTTATTATGTTTATTTTTATTATTTTATTATTTCCATTCTACGTGACTTTACCGAAAGAACCAAGAAGAAGATAAAAAAAATAAAGGTGCAGTCCTGCAATTCTTTTGGTTGCTCTGCTGGCAGAAGAAGGGCCTCCACTAGAGGGAGCTCTGGAGCGTTCCTCGAGAGGAGGCTTTAGCCTACGGTTCTACACAGGCCAGACATTTCGAAAGGGATGGGGAGCACCCACACTTGACCCCACCACACCTTGCCCGCACCTCCGATTAACACGGTTGGCTACGTGCGGTACGAAATAAATTCACCATACGTAAAGAACCATAGAATAGTACGTACGTACGTATAACCTGTCGATCGACGAACTGTGGAGTGCCCATTTATTCTGCTAGGTGGACAGAGGTAAGGGGATGGGGCCGGGGGGGGGGGGGGCTGATTTCCGAAACTTGCCCCAATTTTTCAACTGCCACATCGGGAAAGGGAATCAGGACCGAGGTGCTCCGGATTGCAAGGCCGGTGTGCCAACCGCTACACCATGGCAGCGTCCAAAGTAAAAGTCGGCTCCATACATTTCTGGGGAAATTGAAATCACACAATGGGACCAATACCATGCGAATTGTCGTGGGATTCAAATGTTTGTCTATTGTTAAGGAGTGGTGGTGACCGATTTGGGTGCGTTTAATATATTCTTGAAATTAATAAAAGCAATAAGCTTATCTTTCCGAATGAAACCAGTCAAAATTTACCAGTAAATAATGGATGGTAATTTAATATCACTGCATAATGAAATTTGCCTGAAGCAACAGCCAGCTCAAGCCAGCCTACTTTCTCTGATTAGGCCTATTAATTAGGTATATAAGGTCAGGCTGTGTGTTCTCTCTCTCTCTCTTTCTGCTTGGGCAATGCTCCGCAAGGCTACAAAATCAAAATGTAGAACTGCCGCCAGAAATTTAAGTAGAGGAGTTGTTTTTGTTACCTGTCCGTAACGTGGAAGTAATTGCCTTAAATGCGGACTTTCTCGTGCCCCGGGCATTCATTAACAACCTACGCAGCTCAATCGAAGTGTTATTGTATCCAATGCAAATGCGGACATTAGCGGCAAACAATCTAGATCTGCTTTGGCATAACGTTAATGCAGGAGCAGCATTTACCCATCTCCCTGATTTGTCGTTCGAGATAATAAAAAAAAGTTTCTTTTTTTTTAGCTTTTAGTACAAATTAAATTCAGCAAAATTGCAAAAAACAGCAATCCCTGCTAGAAGGTTTCGCATAAATTCTACGTCACCCCAATGACTTCAGAAAGTGTCAGTTCGTCGTGTAGATTCCAGAGCAACTCCTGCGGTTCTCCCGGGAGGAAGAAAGTAGTTATGGGTTTCGCTGCCGAAACTCGGAGGGGCCAGTTGCCGTAGGCGTGACCTCACGGGAAAAAAAAGTCCCAAGGTGTGCAGCTGCGAGGAGGACGACGTGGAGAGCAGGGGGGGGGGCAGCTTCATCTCTGGAGCAGAGGTCGCAAACGGGTTTTGATTCCTTACCCGTACCCGGCCGCACCAGGGTCGCAAACGGGTACCCGTACCCGGCCGTACCCGTACCCTACCCCCGTACCCGGCTGGGTACGGGTATCGGGTACCTGATTGTGACCTCTGGGATGAAGCCATGTTGCAGGCGCGGGTGGGTTGATTCTAGGAACTTGAATTGTGAGAAGAGACAAGACGTTGGGAAATGAGTGACAAACCGTTATTCACCAGTGACTCACGGCCTACCCATACCCGTACCCGGCCGCACCAGGGTCGCAAACAGGTACCCGTACCCAGCTGGGTACGGGTAGCCGGGTATCGGGTAGGGTACGGGTATCGGGTACCCGGTTGCGACCTCTGCTCTAGAGCCTTCCCACAGACTGAGGCGTGGCGACGATGGCAATGATAATGGTAATGTAGCAGACGTACTGCTGTCCCCGCCGCTGCTCTGGCTCTGTCATGATAGACGGGCATCGCAAATAACTGCTAATGCACGGTAACTCTTAATTTTGCATTAACGCACAGCGATCGTTTTAAAGTGGTCAAAGTGAACGGCTGCACCGTAGCCTCAGCTGACCTTCACGAGTGAGGCTCCTGTGTGGGGTCTAGCCAGGCAAACGCACACCAGCCCGCACCCCCGCATGAACTTCCTCTTTCTGATGTGCGATTAAATCCATATGTGTTTGAATAATTAAATAACTCAATAAATGTATGAATAGTCAAAATTCAAAGTGATTTCTTGAACCTAATGAGCATTGAGGCAGTGCTCATGCCCTGAACAAGTGGTGAAAATTCCACATTACAATGGTGGGGGTGAGTTTCTCCATACGCAACAACCCTTGAATTTGTTACGGAGTGGTATTCAGTAGCTTTTGACATCCATCACTTTGAGGGAATGCAAGCAAGCCATTTCTGTTTAAAAGCTAAGTTTCGCCTTTTTGAATCTTGAAATCGTCAATGATTCCCAGAGCGTATCATCAATTTTTGGTGACTGTGGTCCTCTTTCCCCTTTTAATGGGAGCAGGTTTCTCAAACAAATCTCACGTGATAAAGAATGACTTAAATTCCAGTGCAATTAAACTGAGCTCTCACCTGCCTGAGATAAGAACCTGATTGATTACATTAAACTAATTGCATATGCCCGTCTTATATTTCCATCATCTTGTTATTGAACTGCTTGCGTCGCTTATGCAAAATGAGTTCAAATGTGGCTAAGGCAACGGCTTCCCATATTTATCCAGGACCAATTAAAGCTGTCAGTGTCTCTTTTAAATGTGTATTTTGTAAAGGTTTTCGGACAGAATTTCTTTTCTCTAGTAGCCGCATAATGCAGCTGCTTTTGTGTATCAGGAATACGGCTGTGTTGGATTCATTTTGCATGCAACGTATGCCCCCACAAGATTAATGCTCTTTTAGATCAGAACTGCCTTTTTTTTGGCCCAGCAAGCAGGGTTATATCTCTTGTCTAATCATCTAATGCATTTGTAGCCATCCAATGTTCCACTCCGCCTAACAGCAACGGCGTGCCCAGGAAGACTCGCATATCCATTTTCTCCAATTTACCTATTACATTTGGATTTCCTCTATGAGGTTATTATTTTTTATTGTTATTATTTCGTGTTATTGTTTTAGTGGGATGGGGGGAGGGGAAGAAAAAAAGCGCATTGCCAAGTTGTTGTAAAATCTTTACAAATGACCATGACGACTGGGTCTTATTTGTGAAAGAGACTTCTTGTCTCTCCGAGGGATCTCGCCTGGTAAAATAAAGGTCACCGACTGACTGATTGATGCAATTGTCTCAACTGAGAAAATGTTTTGACCCGTTCACAGAAAACCTTGCGTGCTTTAATGTGCTACGGTGAAATGGCTCGTCAGCACATTTCTTTACGAAAGGTCACCAATCTTCAATCTCATAACATTTTTGCAGTGTTTGTGGCCATGTACCGCATGCCATTGAGCCTTCCTTTTATATTGTTTGCCTTCCTTTGTGTGCAAGACCCCCGATTTTTGTGAAGGCCGGGTAACAACGGCGAGCTTATTTATTAAACGACCTAAATGCCACCTTGTGTTGCCAGCTCAGCTGCGCACGCTTTGCTTTCGAGTCACATTTTGGCCTTTAGGGGGAAACGTGGCATTCCTGAGATATTTTGAGACTAGAGAGGGGGCCCAGCTTGATCGCCGGTCGGCCTTGGTGTGTGGACGGGATAGCGGGTGTGACGGTGGTTTGCTGGGTAGGTTGGGCGCATTCCCACTGCTCGCATTGTCGCCGAGCAGGGAAGCGATGGTTGTTTTCACGGTACAAAGAAATGCGCCGTTTACCGACGCCACGCGGTGCACCACCGTGGCGCCGTGGTGGCGTTGGCGCTGGTAAATAATAGATGATTTTGTTTGGCAGGGCGTGGGGTGCACGCTCCTAGGAGCAGGTGCCGAGGATCGTGGGGGGTCGTGGAAGGCACAACAGCATTAAAGGCATCTTCTCCGAGATGTTCTCTCGCAGCAAGCAGTGGGGGGGGGGGGGGGGGATTTATAAAATTTACGCAAAGGGCACGTGAAGCGCTTGGGATTTTGTTTCGATTTTAGTGTCTTTAAAAAATACATATAGACATAAGTATCTAAAGACAAATATAATAACCCCGCTGAAGAAGCACTCGCGCTCATTCGATGTCAGATGGAAGTTGTGTGAACTTGGTATAAAAGGACACAGCGCAAAGTGTCTGAAATTGGCATGCCTCGCAGCCGAGAGCAGGAGTAATATGCAACTTTACTGGATGTGGCATTGGCTCGGGGCTGTGTGTGCGGGCGTGCCCCAGCGCAATCGGCGGCTGAGATGAAATTGTGAGCCGAGCCTATCAAAGGGACATTTGAGAAGGAACCTATTAGGCTTCCGATGTCACCGCAGGAAATTGCTTGTAATTGTGTAAGAGGAGGAGGGATGGTAATTGTGATGTTATCTAATAATTTCATATTGGAAAGGGGGGGGAATTGTACAACATATGGTATAAATGAATACTTTGGGTTGTTATTTGTTGATCCACCGCAGGAATGTGTTGCATTTTTATTTTTCTTCCCAGTATCGCACTCGCTCATTAGCTCACATTTCTCACTGTTTGTTAAGTTGGGTCCCCAAGGCGTGTATACAAAAACAAACGCGGTCGCATAAAATAAGTGTGCTATTGACAAGCAATTATACATATTTACCTTCTAGAGCCGCTATTGATTCCTCAGAAAATGGGATGCAAACCTTTGTAGAAAACGGCAACCCAAGAGGCTTGGAGTGCCGCCTCTTATCTCGTACTGTCTAATGTGGTTTCTAATTATACCTACAGTTCCCCTGTGCTGCGAATGTAATTAGGGGGAGTGGGTGGGGCATAATTTGCTGTTGCATCAAATGTTCTCTGGAGCAGGCAAGGCAGAAATACTGCTTGTGTACGGGACACAGCGGGTCCCAGGGGGCAACTAAGCGCAGTAATTGATGAGGGTTGATCTTGCTGTATCTCCTGCGCCACATTGCAGCAGCGCATATTAATGAGGATGTCCGTGCATGCATTTTAACAGCCCCGTTTGTCCACTCGTCGTGTTGCGTGGGCATGTGACGAGGCGCGGCTTCAGCGCCGCGTTAATTCCTAGGGGAAACAAAATTACGTTTGAACAAAAAAAATGCCTTCTCAAATATTTCTTATGCAAGTGATCAACGATAACAACTCACGTGCAGTTAGCCTTAGTTAAAATGTAGTCGCCCAAGCTGTGAATTTCTACCCCCCCCCCCCCCACAATAATTACAAAAGTAAGGACATGTCTTGCCTGCCCTTGTAAAATATCTTTGCAAAATTGCAAGGGTAAATGCAAACCATGATGCGGTGATTTGAAAAGTTTGTATTGATAGAATGCCTATCAATCAATAATAGTCATACAAAATACAAAAAGTGGAGTTTCATTATGTTGACTGCAGTCCATTGCTCTTTTATTGATAAGACCAATGGGACTCGGACATAAATCAGACGAACCATGCTATTAAAAGGCTTAAGCACTGAATGTTTGTGGTAATGCATTGTGGCAACATGGACGGTGGCGGCGCAGTGGTTAGGCATACTGTGCTGTTAGCACACCCGGTGATCGAGCTCCATTCCTAACAATGGCTAACTCGGTTAAATGGTGAGCTACATCTGAAACGGTCCTGAGCTCCCACCAATTCACGTTGACCAGGGTGGTGAAACAATCCCCAAGACCAACACGGTGTGAGGGAGGCCTACATCTAGCGGTGGATCGACAAGTGCTGTAAATTCATTTTGAAATATATTTTATTCAGGTGTTCTATTTGTAAAATGCTTTCACGTGAAATGGCAGTGTCTCGTCAAACTATGCGGCGAATTGCAGATCAAGGTGCACGTGTTCGCCTGTGAAATTTCAGGAGAAGACTAGTCTGTATTCTGTTGGATTGGCCGTATTGTCAGATTTGCGGGTGAAAGGATGGGATGCCTAAGGTCACATCAGTCAGAGCAACTGGGAGTATAAATGGGAATATATTGTTCGGATAAATTTGAAAAAAATGAGTTGGTTATTGATGTGACCTTGAGAGACTCTTTGGCTAGAAAATCTATCAAAATCCGAGTGGAAATTAATTGGACTCAATATTAGCTCTAGGCAGCATACATGCTGTGCTTAAGATTGCTATGGTTATTGGTAATATATACTGTACTGCATATACTATTTACTTATAATAATCACTCTGGGAAAAAATACCTGGCAAATGAGTCGCACCTTTATGTCATGATGGTGATAGAGGTGACGGTGCTGCTTCTGCTGTTGCTGATGATGACACTGTTGCTGATAATGGTCCTGCTGCTGCTACTATTGATTATACTTAGGGGCACCACTGTGGTGAGATGTTAAGTACCTCCCATGGTATAAAGGAGGTCTTGGGTACGATCCAGATCCTGACATCTGTATATTTGGATTTTGCATATTCTCGCTGTGGTCACATGGATTTTTCTCCGGGTCCTCCGGTTTTTCCTTCCACGTTTAGAAACGTGCGTTTAGAATATTCGGCTGCCATACATTTCCACACAATAAACCATTTTGTTGCGGCTGGATTGCTTCTGAAAAAGAGCTATTTAGCTGAGTGCGCCTTACCTGGTAAAATAAAAAATAGTTTAGTGTACTTTCTGATCGTAATGCTTTTGCTCCTCATGCTGATTGCTGATACTATTACTGCTGATGATGATTGTACTCGTGATGATATTGCTGCTGCAGGTGGTAATGATACCGCTGCGTTGGTGAAGTGGGTAATACTATGTTTTGTATGGTGATGGTGGTTTCGTCGAATGGCGATGGTGGTGGCAATGGTGGTATTTTGATGGTGTGATGATGGTGGTGTGATATTTGGTGGTGGTGATTGTGGCGGTCTTTGTGTGTGTCTTTCTTTCCCAGGCTATGGCTTCGTGGATTTTGATAGCCCTGCAGCCGCCCAGAAGGCAGTGACAGCCCTCAAGGCAAATGGCGTGCAGGCACAGATGGCAAAGGTAAGTCCCCTTAAAAGCTGCCCATCAGCACTGCTGTTGCAGGATTCTCAATATGGGGAACAGATGGGGGTTGGTAGACACCAGGCCAACATTTTGAAGTTCAAAAACTCTATCATGGACTTAATAAAGCAGACTTCAAAACTTCAAAAGCAAGTTTTTTAATCTCTATTTTGTTTTTATGCCTAAACTGGTATCCACTGTTTCATATCCCGTAAGACTTCGTGGCCGAAAATAATTTAGCAATATAGCTATAAAATATTAAAAGTCAACTGTTCCTTCAATTTCATTACATGGTGGGGATGGGCACGTGTGGGTTAGTGGTTAACATACGAGCTATGAATCCATTTATCTGAGTTCAAGTCCTGGTCATGGCTAACATCTTTGGCGAGTCATGTTTGAGCCAGTCATGGGCTTCTCCCCTTTCACCCTATACACGATCCCGTGGTGACCAATGTATGGTCAAACAGCCCCCGTCACTGTCACGGTGTGGTATAAGGCATTCCATGCAGCAGTGGATTTACAAATAGCTGAAAATTATAATCATAAATGTTAGTTTCTAGAGTAACCAGTGTCCAACACTTGGCTTCATAAACCCTACCTGCATGGACACGTTCTGTTTGTATGTTGAACTTATTTCGCACCGTACGTAGCAAACCGTGCTAATCGGAGGTGCAGGTCTATTACTTGTGTTCGTTACCTGGAGCATCGCCCATCGCATCGCCCATCGCATCGCCCATCGCATCGCCCATCGCATCGCCTGTAGACTATCGCTGGCCGTCTCAGTCTGCATCGGTCATTTTATTTCAAATGGAGGATTTATTTCACTTATAAATCACCACATCTCAGCAGCATGTCCACTTTTAGTAAAAACCTATGCACCTCATGCACCCTCTTCCTTTTCAACGGGCACCAGTTCTCCTGAGTACAATATTGAGTCCTGGGGATGGTGCCGTGATCGAATGGGTAGCGCACTGCACTTGCAAGCCACAGGTCCCCAGTTCGATTCGATCTCCTGGCGAGGCAGTTGAACCAATGGCCACATCTCCTAAATCTGCCCCCCCCCGCCCCCTACCTCTGTCCACCCAGCAGTTATAAATGGTATACCACAACCACAGTTAGTCCATCAGCAAGCCACGTGTGGTGGGGTGAAGTGTGGGGATTGCCACTTATACCATCATGGAAGAGCAGGCCAAATAGCCATCTGGAGGGGTTCTCTGGAGCTCTCTATCATGGAGGCCGTTCCACCAGCAGTGGCTTATAATTGCAGGTCTGCACTGGTTTTGTGAGTGTGCAATGTATTTAGCGCTATTAATGAAACTGAAAATCCCATCCGATTGATTGATTGCAATTCTCAGATTTGTAACCACGGAGCTGTCAGCAAAGAGACTTCCTCAAATTGATTTTACGAGAGTAAAAATTGGTCTAACAAGGAAAATGAGTCTGACACCTGCATGTGCGTGCGTGTGTGTCGTATAACGCGTTACGTAGGTCACCGCAAAGTGAGACACGAAGACATTGCCATGTCATATTGATGCTCTGCTATTGGGACATATTGATAGCTTCAACACAGATTGTGTCATTTTAGGCCGTGAGGCAGCGGCAGAGTGATCGGTCGCTTGGTGCCGCACGTGTTTCGTGGCCTCCCTCATCATCAATTTCCCCTTCCTGAGTGCACTTTCAGTAAGGGGCAAGGTACATTATTGCGAGGGGCAAATCCAAAGTTAGAAAATGTCCTGAAACTGAATTTGTTAAACAAACTGATGATGATAACACTTTCATTTTCGTTTAGGTTTCTTTTTATGTGCTTAGAAAAGTGGTCATTTAAATCATTGTGTTCCCACCCAGTTCTAACCGAGCTGTTTAAGTAATCGAATACTCTTACTGATTATCAATTTGATTACTCGACTAATCGGATAAGATGAGAATTGTTGGGGGAAACAAAAGTCTCACCTCTGTTGCCATACGTGATGCTGGACTGGAGATGATGGGCAGGCCTTAAACGTGTCATTGGCATCATATCCACTACGTTACACTAGGCCTGGCGCATAGGGGTGACCATCATTTTTTAAGGGGCTTGAGTAATTGACCAGCGAAAGTAATTGATTATAAGTTTTGTTTGATTAATCAAATTATTTTCCGGTTGCTTGAGCTACAGCTCACACATTCACAATTGTCCCTGTGTGCCGTCACAGCCAGAAACTATCCGTACTCGTCTAATTCTATACTAATATGTTGGTTGTTATGATGCCGATATATTAAAATGCTTTGGTTTCGCTAAGCTGGTAACTTAAAAATGTGTGGTCTTCTGCCTAAAGAACGCTTCATATTGGACCTCATTGTACATGACAGTCTCATTATCAATCCAGTGCTGGAGGAGGGCTTTCCCTACGCCATTGTAGTTTATGGGGGGTTACTTCACCAAACTTCACCACGCCGGTCAATGCGGGTTGGTGAAGATAGATGTGGAAGCATGGAAGTAAAAGCGTTATGACAAATTCACTGTACCTCCCTCTACCGTGCACAGTGTAGCTCCGCAGCCTGTTACAACCTTCTGTTCAAGATGTTAACTACCTCGCCTGGTTTGCAGGAGGTCGTGGGTTCGTCCCCGGCCATGGCGCCTGTATATTTGGAATCTTAGTTTTCTCCTGGTGGTCGCGTGGATTTTATTCTGTGTTCTCCGGGTTTTCCCTCCACATTTAGAAACATGCTTTTAAAGTATTTGGCTGCTTTCAATTTCCACATGATAAGCCACTTCAATGAGCTATCATTTGTGGCCAGGTTGCTTCTGAAAAAAAGCTACATAGCTCAATGTGAGCCTTAACTGGTCAAATTAAATTAGTTTAAGCCCATAATTTTAAAGTTGCTGACCATCCAAGCACTATCCAGACTCAAAAACGATTAGCTTCTAAGATCTGATGAGATTGGACACATTCTGGCTGATTCTGTCATCGGCTGGATCGCATTAAGTCGCCATATTCTGAACTGTAATGTGCGTGCGATTCATTTCATTGTGCCGGTTTGTTCAATTCGAAATAAGACGTAACAGTTGTATCATATTAATCTCTGCCCATGGTGCAATGTTGCATCACACATCCAAATTGCATGAAGGCGTCAGTTCGTGTTCCTCTCTTGCGACGTCTGCTCAACCACAACGGTTATTTTGACCTGGAACGAGTACCTGGCATTACGTTGTGCAGGATCTCAAGAGTCCGTTTAAAAAGTGGAAAGAGGGTACCAGTGGGTCACCCATCCTTGCCCATGAGTTGGATTAGGAAATAACAAACCAATAGCAAACCATGCGGGTGTCATGCATGACATGATGACGACGAATAAGGGATATCTTAGTTGTCAAGGACAATGAATGTTGCCTGTTACACTTTTTTTTCTCCACAGCTGTTAAAGCACTTACAACAGCCCTGGAGGTGTAAATAGTCTTATGGGAGTTTTAAAATTTATATATTTTCGCATTTTCAATATGGTTAGCTGCTGCAGAGGTTTATTATTCTGGTTTATGCTGGAGGTGGGCTATAAATTGTTGGAATTTGGCTTGGTTTTCAAATGTGAATTGGCAGCTTTAATAACAGACTGTGATAAAATTGAGACCAGTTATTCGCTGGGCGCCAGCATCCCCCACGTTCCTCAGGCAAAATTCCTCCCGACAATTTTTACACGCCGAAGCTGATAACAAATGCTGATCAGTTGAAAGAAACAAGACACCGCATCTGCTTTTTTTGGCTACAGCATTGTCTCCTGGACGACGCATCCTACAAGAAGTGCTGCGGGCTTCGAGTCATTTCCGTTTAAATAAAATGACACAAATTGCACTGTACAGTCCGTTCGTGGGGGATTACGGACGGTGACGTCAGTTAAGATATTTCAAAATGAGCCCGTCCATTCATGCATCCCCCCGCCCGCACGCGAAAACTTCTCATAAGGCTGCTCATTGTGCACGGCGGCGCGCGAGAGGGCGAAACCGTAGCGGCGTGCGAATAAAAATTAAGTGAAGCCAAAGGTCTCGGGGACACAATGTGCGGCGCCGCGGCGCGAACCGTGCGCGCACAACGCGCGCTTTTGCGCGGCGTTTTTTTTGCCTCGCGAATATTATTACACGCGAGGTCCTCGAAGTGACGCCACCCACAGAGGTGCTCCCCGGGCACCTGCAGATTAGCGCCCTCACAGCACCTGCAAAGTGGTCCATTAGGGCTGTCGTGCGTCGTGGAGGTGGATTATAGTGGTGCGGTTCAAGCGACGCTCCATGCCTGCGCAGCATCAGCTAGGAGCGATTTAGCCACCAGGATTCTCAGGCTAAAGCTGGAGGGAGTAAAATGGGAAGGGCTGGCAGAGCTAAACACAAATTTCCGCCCCCCTTTATCCCACAAGCGCCACCAACAATGCGCGCTTTTCATTCGCGCTCCTTGGCAGGACAATGGGCGCAGTTAGGGGAAAATGTCAAGTGATCAGCGGCTGGTTCAAACGCAGGCTTTGTAGTAGCATTCAATGGCAGTGTATGCAGCCCGGAACAAGCTGGTGGGTGGGGTGGGGGGGTGGCATTTGGGAAAGATGGATCTTTGCGGGGCACTCCAAATACTTTTCGTCCAAAAGCCACTTCAGCATCGAGGACCCATTAACACGAGCTTGACAAGTCATTTAGCCAGGGCCTGCGTTATTGCTCGCCCAGGTTATTCATTAAAAAGTGTTCACACTGACACAAAAGGCGTTACAGTATACTTTACTCTCACACCTACAATATTATTCACATGGAAATCTCGCCGGCACATGACCACTCATAAACTTTCGTTCATTCATTTTTTTTATATATATAAAGTTTTTTTTTTACATTAAATGTAATATTTCCTGCTGAAGGAATTCATTAGTGTTGGTTGGTTAGAGCAAGTCTCTAAAATTGGCTGTTGAAAAATGGGCCGTTGAAAGTTTAGCAGACGAAATTGCAGTTTGAAGCGTGCTAATTCGGAAACGGTGCATAATATCGCGTTTGACTT